AAAGTTGATCAGCTTAGAAATGAGGCCAATGGAATACCCAAATCAAAAGTTTGTTTGTGTGCCTCCAAGACTTTCTGAGAGTGGTGGCCATGGTACTAACCAGTTTGGGCACATAATAAGTCTTTAAGATCACAGAACACTTAATTCTTAACCCAACACTTCTACTTTCACAAGTTAGCTTTCAGTGTAGCCTTGCTAAAATAAAGACTATATAGACCCCCAACATATGAAATGTCAGGTGGCCATGGCAGTTGTATTTCTCACTAGAAACAAACCACCCAGCATTTGATCTCTATAATCAGCTTCTCATCAATCTGACTGTTGTAAGCCAGCCCTAACTTATCCAAGGGCCTTTTTTTACCAGGCATAGTGCTTGCTGTTTATCTCAGTTTGAATGTTTCTGAACCCTTATAAATGAACTTTGAATCCCCTAAGGCACTGCCTGCTACACTGAAGACCAAAGTTATGTGGTTCTTTCCCCTTCAAATGGTCATTTTAAACAGCTTCTATCCACAGGGATCTGAACCTGTAGGGCAACATTCATTTGTCTATTTACCTTATAGCAGCTGTCACTGGAAGCTCACTATGTAGTCAGGCACTGCTTATCTCATTTAATCCTCAAAAAACTGAGCCCATTTGACAGGCATGTTCGCACATGCCTGTAATCCCAGCAGCTTGGGAGGCTGAGGCAGGAGAATCACAGGTTCAAAAGCCAGCCTCAGCAAAGGCGAGGCACTAAGCAACTCAGTGAGACCCTATCACTAAATAAAATACAAAACAGGGTCAGGGTTGTGGCTCAGTGACTGAGTGCCCCTGAGTTCAATCCCGGGTACAAAGGGGGGGGGGGGGCATTATCATACCTATTTTACAGATGAGGCCACTGAGGCCCATGATAGCTCATATAACTTGACACGCCACACAGCTGACAAACTATATAAACTGTCAGCCAATTCTCCAAAGAATGTTCTACTAGGTTTCCCTCCTTCCAGTTTATCTGCTACATAGCAGAGCCATCTTTCGAAACCCAACTAAGTTCTTAATATTTTGCTGGTTAAATCCTTCAAAGGCATGCCTCATCGCCAACAAGACAAAGTAACATGCAAGACCCTTACTAACCAGGTTCCTGCCAATTCCTCCCATCTCTTCTCCCTTTCCCCTCCAGCATCCTCCAGTCGTCCTGTCTTTGTTCTTAGGTTCTCCAGGTCTATAACATTCTCTCCCATTTTCGCCGAGAAAAGTGACAATTTTCCACAAACCATCTACTGGAGAAAGCATTTTTACTCGCCCCTCTCCGTTACTCTCGCCTAAAGCTACATCCCCACACTGAACTGTAGCATTCCATCATCCGCGTCCTCTACTAGAAAGTGAACTCGGTGAAGGGAATGTGAATATTTCATGGTGCAGCCCCAGCGCCTGGGAAGTCAGATACACGCAAACATAAAAAGGCTGGCTTTGAACCTGAGTCGAACAATCGAGTCGAACTCCTCCTCCGAACAATCTCACCCTCCCGCTTCCTCCTCCCCACCCCCTAGACCTTTGGGCAACTGCTTTTCAGGCTCCCACCCCTTTCAAAAGTCTGGGCCTTACAAGGGATCCTCTCTAGTATGGGGCTTCAGGGTCTGATCCGAAACTCTGGACACATTTATTTAGCAAAAGTTTTCTCCGTGCCTGCCGGGTCCCTCCGTGCCTACGCGGTTCTACCTTCGCCACTACCGAGCAAGCGGGCCTCAGACCCCGGATTTCGGCCTTCCTTCCCTACCCACTGTCCCGCCGGTCAAGGTTCAGGTCTTTTTGGCCCGGACCGAGTAGCCGCGGCCTTCGCCGCCATTAGCGGCTCCAACCCACAACTTTTTCCCCTGCCCGCGGCGGCCCCCACTCCACAACAGACTCGAAAGCTCCTGTGCCCCTAGCCCACGTCTTCTCACCATGGTGGCGGTTCTGATGGCTCCGATTCCCGCCGGATTCGCCTCCGCAGAGGCCTAGACACCCGCCAACAACCGGATTCCCGCCGTCGCTACCGGAAATGCAGCCGCCAGCAAAATGCGGTCGGGTAGAAAGCTACTTCCGGTCCCGGCACAGAGCCCTTGAGTTCCTACCGGAGGGAGGAGTTGCGCGTGGTCGTGGAGGCGGAGGTGGGTTGGGCTGGAGAGTGGGTGGTGGTATTAACAACAAAGAACGCACGCCTGCTGGAGCGGCTTGTGTCACAATCACCTTTCTTCCCCTGCTTATCAGTTAACGGTCCTCATCTACCACTCTCCCGGACATTCTCCTCTACAGCAACTGTTCCTCTCTAGCTTCGCTGCTCCTGCCTCAGCACCTCTGCATTTGCTTTTGCCACTGTCTGGAATAATAGCCTCCCACGCCTCCAGCTATGTGTAATACTAAAGAAATCACCCTCAAGATTTAAGCTTAAACCTGGCATGGTGGCGCAAGCCTGAAATCCCAGCAAGTTTAGGAGGCTCAGGGAGGAGAACAGCAAGTTCAAGGCCAGCCTCGGCAACTCACGGAACCCTAAAGAGATGCTGTCTCAAAATAAAAAAATAAACGAGCTGGGAATATGGCTAAGTGGTTAGGCGCCCCTGAATTCAATCCAAAAAAAGGAAAAAGTAAAAGATTCAAGCTTAAAAAATATTTCCCCGGTGAAGACTTCTCTGGACATCCTATTTAAGTCCACAACCTTCCCACCCACCTCACCCCAATTTCTGCTACACCCCCAGCCTCCACATTTCCTCCCCTCCACCCCAGAAAATTCAGCAAAAATCAACTTGAAAAAGATCATTCTAAAACTAAAATAGAAGAAGAATGATGGAGGTCCTGAATTCAAAGTCATGACTCAAGCAGGACATTTGTCAGTTAAGTGAAAAGGCCCAAATGGGATGGAACTTAAGACTTTGGAGTGGGGTCCAAAGCAATTCGATTTGAGAATGAGCTCCCCAGTTCTCTAAAATACCCCACCAGACACATCTAGAACTTCACCCTTATTAGTAGGGCTTTCCAGGTACTTCAGGGATTTGAATTTAAGACCACGGATCTCATGTAGGAAATAAACAGTACAAAGATAGCTCCTCCTCCTCCTTGGGCACCATATCCAAAGGACTGGGAAGTGCGGGGCTTGTACCTCCGTTTCTGAGGGTTCATGCTGCCATGGGTGAAGGAGCCCTGATTCCAGCAGCCCTTCCAAGAGACAAAGCCTGAGTGAACAGTATCCCAGAGAAGCCACTTTTCAGGCTACAAAAAAGACCTCTTTACCCCATCCCTTGGCTAGGCAGGGCTGAAAGTCCTTTTCCTGAGCCATATCTGAAGTTGCTACCTTTAGTGTGGATTCAATTTTTTAAAGAAATCTAGCTAGGCATAGTGGGGCACACCTGTAATCCCAACAACTAAGGAGGCTGAGGCAGAAGGATCACAAGTTCAAGGCCAGCCTTAGCAACTTAATGAGGCCCTAAGCAATTTAGCAAGTCTCTAAGCAATGTAGCAAGATCCTGTCTCAAAATAAAAAATAAAAAAGGCTGGGGATAGCGGTGGCACAGGCCTATTATCCCAGTAGCTTGGGAGTCTGAGGCAGGAGGATTGCAAGTTCAAAACCAGGCTCAGCAACTCAGTGAGACCCTGTCTCTAAATAAAATACAAAACAGGGATGGGGATATGGCTCAGTGGCCAATTGCCCCTGAATTGAATCCCTGGTACAAAACAAACAAACAAAGGCTAGGGATGTAGCTCAGTGGTTAAGTGCCCCTAGGTTCAATCCCCTGTACCAAAAAGGAAAAAAAAAAAGTGTATAATTATTTTAAAATGTGCACCATTTTCATCTTTCCCAATGACAAGACACAGGAAGAGGTATTGGAACTATCTGGAACAAGAGCCTATTTCTTCATTCTTCAAACCCCTGGAGAATATATCCCCATTGACACTCTTTCCTCCTTCCAAGCTTTCCAGTTCTGACCAGATGCAGAGACTTGGTGCCATAGGGGGTAATTCTAGCAAAGGCACATGGAAATGTGACAGTGTGTTGCTCCACATTCCCAGGCATTCACACCCTTCCCAAAGGCTGATGCCCAGAAGTCACTAGAAAGTTGACTCCACAGACAATGTGGAGGTAGAGGCCCTGGAGCTAGTGCCTCCCTTTTGGCTCCTTTTCTGCCCCCTCCTTTGATGGGCTATAAAAGCACTCTGCATTTTCTGACTCTCCAAGACAGATATCCATTCTGTAGGCTTGGAAAAACTCCAGTTGGGCAAACAAATTTGCGGGAGCCTAGGCAGTCCCTTTCCAGTGAATAGCTATTGGCCCAAACAGAACCAGAGCCAGGGCAGACAGAGTTGTCAAAAATCTGGACGAAGTAGAGGGATGATTTGGAGAATCATTAGCAGAACAGGATCCTAGGATGGGAAGGCTGAGGGGACATGGTATTGCAGCTGCCCACAGGGGTCTTTTGACATTATTGTTGGTCTGACATGAGAGTGGCTGTGCAGTCCGAAGCACTGACTCATGCTTAGAGAGAAGTCTGGGCATAGCTAGAGGACCTGTCCCTGGAGTCCAGAAAGCTGCAGAGCGGGTGTGGCTAAAGACTCCCTGGAACCAAAGGATGTGAACAGACAGCTAAGGAATAGACATCCTTCAGGGGGTAGAGAAGGATTCAGCAGAGACAGAAGGAAGGACACTCAGGAGAGGGAGCTTTCACGGCACAGAAGCAAGTGGAGTGGCATCAAAGGCCCTGGAGGCCCACAAAATCCCCTCTCTGCTGCTGGCCAGCCTCCAAAATCTAATCACTCCCTCTCATGCAAAGGACTAGACTCCCCAAGAAATCTAGTCTAGGATTCTCAAGAATTCTATCCAAGCAGGAAACCCAGGCCATGAATTTGAATTCCTTGACCTTTTCAGTCAGATGAGTGACAAGGGCCCACAGCCTGAGCTTCTTAAAGAGAATATGACCAGAACAAGGGACAAGAAACCATGGGAAAGAAATGGTGTATGAAAAGAAAACAAGCGGATCATTCTCTGATGACTTAAATAATGCCTACTTTTTTTATTCCATCTGATTACAAAAGTAGAAAAATGTCTACGTAATTGTTATTGCCTTCTTTACTCTCATTCAGAGGGTTGGGACTGGGGATATAGTTCAGTTGGTAGATTGCTTGCCTCGCATGCACAGTCCCTGAATTCAATCCCTAGTACCACCAAAAAAAAAAAGAGTACCTACCGTTGGGTTAAGACTTCTGCTGAATGGGCAAGGCAGTGATTTAGGGTGGCAAGACTCTGCTCTCTTGTCAGCTCAAGAAGAAAATCAGGGGAAAACTGCTTCTACCAAAAAGTTGTTTTCCTGGGAAGTGTGCCTGTTTCATAAGTCCTTGCCAGTTCCCTTCTGCCCTCAGGACACCCAGCGCTGCTTCTCTGTATACCCTGGTGTTTGCTGAGGGATGACGCAGCCAAAGCCTCATCCACACCTTTCACACCTAAGGTGATAGATTAGGTTCCCTGGAGACAGAGATGGAGAATCAGGGTCCACCATGGAGTGAGGGCAGGACTGGGCAGAGGAAGAGGTTGACCTGCAACATATTTGCAACTGAGAGATCATTCAGTCTAGGGGGGATTTCTGGATCTGGAATGATCCTTGGGAACAGGGGTGGAGTTTTAACTACTGGTATCCATAGGTCACTGGCCAAGAGCCCCTCTTGAGAAAGGGCAGAGCCCCTGATTCTGTAGCTCGCTGTGGCTAAGAGCTGGTGCTAGAGTTGAACCCATCTCTGCAAGCAGCAGCTTTTTTCTCTCAAGCAGCTGGGGTGTTGGCCTTGAAAAGGTCACCTGGGCAGGGTCCACAGCATCCCCACTCATAGATTCTCCCTGTGGCATATGACCATAAAAGGCCCTCTTGTGGTGACTTTCACTCTTTTGCGGATGCTCACCAACACCCTGAACATGTGACACTTATTCCTCAGGGCTGTCACTGGATGTTCCCAAGTCTGGACTTACTGCTAATGCTCCCCCCGCCCACAGTCCCTGCACACACAAACCTTTCCCCCTAAGTGTGTCCTCTTGTGCATGGTGAGGCTGACCTGTGGCTACAGAGTTATCCATGCTGTACCCTCATGATGTTCCTCTCCTCCACGTGTCCTCTCATGTCTAAGAAGGGTAAGGCATCTCTGAAACATCACTCATACTCCACACACACGTGGGGACCATTTCCTATGTGTCTCTCTGGTATAAGATGAAGTTTGACTGAAGGCTCATGTCTTGCCCAGAATTCTTGCCCAGACACACAAGATTCCCCTCAGTGTGTCTTCTAGTGTCTGATGAGATTTGATTTCTGGCTAAAGCCTTGCCCACACTCCCCACAAACATAATGCTTCTCCCTGAGTGTGTCTTCCAGTGGACAAGAAGTTGTGGCTAAAACCTTCCCCACATTCAGTGCACACAAAGGCTTCTCTCCTGGGTGTATTCTCTCGTGTTGGAAGAGGGTTGATTTGCAGCAAACGCCTCACCCACACTCCCTGCAAACAGAGGCTTCTCCCCTGAGTGTGTGCTCTGGTGGTTTCTGAGGGTCCCCTTACCCCCCAAAGCCTCGTCCACATTGCAGGGGCATGGAGGGTTTCTCACCTGAGTGTGTCCTCTGGTGTCTGAAGAAAGATGGCATCTGGCCAAAGCCTTCCCCACGCTTGCTGTAAATGCAGAATTTCTCCCCTGAGCAAGTCTTCTGATGTCTACTGATAGACTTATTTCTAAAGCTTTGCCCCACTCCCTGTACAAGAGAGGTTCCTCTTCTCAATGTGCTCTCTGGGCTCTGTCGAGGCTGAGCTTTTGGCTAAAGACTCCGCCCACTCTCTGCACACATATGGCAAGTGTGTCCAGTGGCGTTCCGATGATGTCTGTAAAGCCTCACCCACCATCACTGCAAACACAGGACTTGCCCAAGAGGGTCCTGGCGTTTGTAATGAAGTTTGGCATGGGGTTACAGTCTGGCTCACACTCTCTACAGCTGACTGCTCCAAATCTCAAGGTTTCTAACTGCTCCAATCCTTTTTCCAATTGTACAAGGTTAACCCTTTGGGCTGAGTAGGGCTCTAATTCTACCACCGCATTAACTTCTCTAGGATTTGCTGACTGTCCTTGGAATGTACTGGGTGATGTGCTCAAGGTCTCTCTCTTCACCATCCTCCCACACAAGAGTTTGAAGCTACCTTCTCCCTCTTAACTTCTGGGCTTTCATTCTAATAACATGGCTGTTACTTCTGCTGCTTCTAACATCCTGGGCTGGAATCTCCTGGAGGGAAGAGACCTTCTGCACATGACTCTGGAAAGATCTGAAGCACATGCTGTTGAAGAACTGCTGACAGGAGAAAGCCAGAGGCAGGAGGAACAGGGGAGATTTCTGGCTTTGGCTCTGCTGGAAAAAAGGGAGTTTGGGGTTAGAGGAGCCACAGCAGGGCTGCTGAGCTCGGCTGTCTTGTCTTAGGATAGAGAGGGTCTTACTGTCACACCTACCATTGATAATATATATACAACACAATTTGTTTCCCACTCATAACTCTTGAATATTCCACTTTTACATGCGACATTTTCTATTAAAATCCAGAAAATCCATATCAAAAACATCTTCTATGTGTCAGATAGGGAATAATTAGTCTATTCCTTCTACTAAAATCATCTAAGCTACCACTATCACCAAGTCAAATGTCACTTCCTCAATGATTTCAAATATATAATTTCAAAATTTAGCCAGCCAAAGCCAGGTACAGTGGCACAGGCCTGTGATCCTAGCAACTCGGGAGGCTGAAGCAGGAGTATCGGAAGTTTGAGGCCAGCCTCATCAACCTAGCAAGACCCTACACAACTTAGTGAGACCCTTTCTCAAAATAAAAAATTTTTTAAAGGGGGTATAGCAGCCAGAGATGTAGCTCAGTACTAAAGCACCCTGGGTTGGTGCTCAGTACCAAAAACAAACAAACAAACAAACAAAAAAGTCAGATAGCCACCCTGTCACTCATACCATTTATCCTGCTTTATCTCATTATTTTTTTAAAATATTATTTTTAGTGATGAACACAACATCTTTATTTATTTATTTTTATGTGGTGCTGAGGATCAAACCCAGTGCCTCACACGTGCAAGGCAGGCACTCTATCACTGAGCCACAACCTCAGCCCTCATTAGTTTTTACTACAAAGTGATTACTACCCTTTAACATACTATACTATAATAACCCTGCATATGAAGCCTTTTATTTATTGTCTGTTGCCTTATAATAGAAAGTAGGCCTAATGGAGCAGGAGTTATTATTTCATTTATAAATGTGTTCTATTGTGTCTGTCTATAACTAAAAAAATATTTTTTAAAAAATGTGTTCTATGTGTCTAGAACATTTTCTGGAAGATAGCAGGGGATCAATAAATCTCTACTGAATTAAGGAAAGGAAAGAAAACAGCCTTACCCAACAAGAGCAGATTCCTGGAGATTTCTAGCATCGCTTCTTTGTATAGGTTCCTCTGCTTAGTGCTCAGTTTTCCACTTTGGCTCCCTGCAGATCACAGTCACACTCCTGAATGTAACTGGTACCTACAAAAAAGGAGTAAGTGAAAGTACACCAGGCCACCACCACTTTCTACAGTGTGAGGACCACAGCTCCCCGGCCCTGGAAAGTATGGACCTGCGAGAGCTGGATCTATTTCATTTCAGGGTACATAGTTCTCTATCTAACTTTTTCTGGGCATGACTACATGCCTGGCTTTCTGTTAAAATCTGTTTAGCACATAAGTGACACAAAACAAATTCCAGACCTTCAAAATTTTATGGTTTCTTTGGAAAAACAATGTGTGCATCCATAGAAAACTGAAGCAGTGTTCAGGACAGTGATCTTGAAGCTCCATAAGGGAGGGATTCAGAGATGGAAGAACAGAGGATGGGACAAGAGAAGAAAAACAACCATCAAGGATGTGGAACTTAGGCTGGGCACCAGGGGATACCAAGGATTTAGAGAAGAAAATATTAGAAAACTTTTTTTTTTATTTTTTATTTTGCAGGACACGATGGCTCATACCTGTAATCCCAGTGACTTTGGAGGCTGAGGCAGGAGGATAGTGAGTTCAAGGTCAGCCTCAGCAATTGAAAGGCCCTAAGCAACTTCCGGAGACCTTGTCTCTAAATAAATAGTCAGTACTATTAGATGGCAGACCTAAGGGAAGAAAAAGAGGCTATAAGATCAGAACTCCCGTGATGCTCAGGAAGCAGCTCTTCTGAAATCTGGGATGGGGAAGTAGCCAGTTGACTCAGCTGTGACCTAAAACATGGTAAAGCTGGATATTTGGCCCCCTCTTCACCTCTCCAGATCATTAAAAATTCTTACCTTCTGCCTTGTGATTTTGAGTCAGCTACTTCATGGTCTCCATATCTTCCCCATTTTTGAAGGCAAAACCTTTTCCTGCTTCAGATCTCCCAGGCCAGAGGGATCAAGCAGCATCATGGCCTCACAGTCAGTCCAGAGTATGGCTTAAATTTCCATTAGAAGGCCAGCGAGATGTGATTTCATCTCAAGATGGAGTTCTGCTGCTGCAGTGACCTCTTCCAACCCTAACTCTAAAAGCCCATCCTGTTTCCATGCATCCAGGGTCCATGGGATAGAGAAGCCATGTGATGTTGCTGGGGCCTTTATTGTGGTCCCTAAGCCCATGACTCTTCAGCAAGTATCCCATCCTTTCACACCCTCTTCATTCAACAAGTATGGAGTTTCCATCTACAGAGGCACCCTGATTTTCTGCCTTCATTCTTTTCCAGCCTGTAGGCCCTCCACTGTCTCCTGCCACTCACTCCTTACCTTTCAAGACTTACATCTTTTCTTCCATCTTTGCATCATAGATTCAAACTCCATGCTTTGGATCAGTCTTTGCTCTCTGAAACCCAAGTCTGAGAGAGGACAGAAGATAGCATAATGCCAGTGGAGAAGGAGCCCCTGAACGTCTCCTTCCAGACCAATCAGAACATGGAGGATTTAGCTTCTAACTCCCCCAGGCCAAGGTCCCATGTATGTTCAATCCTCTTTGTCTCTGTACTCTGCAAAGTTTTGGGGAACTAAACTCAGGAGAGCTCCATGATGACTCTATTAATATAACCCCCCTTTCTATTTCTATGTGTGCATGCCTCTTAGCTTTATCAGATATGTGCATTCATGGCTTTGGGGGGCCCCAAGTCTAAGTACTTGATTCACATGGTCCTGAAAGAGGCAGGTGGTGTTAGGAGGAAGGCCACCTGCAAGAGCTCCTCAAACACTTTGTCCAGATTCTAAACCCAAGAAACTACAGTCCTCCTGTTGCTAGAACCCTTCTGAGGCTACCTGGAGTTCCCCTGAGGTGCTCCTGAGATCCATCCCACAATACCACAAGCAGAGATGCTCACTTCTTCTGTCAATTTGGGCCTCTGACCTTGGTCACATGATACTGCAACTCCACTATATAATGTTTTTAGAATTTATATAGCTTTTACTAGACTGTGAGCTTCTTGTAATAAGAAATTTCCTCTGGGGCAGGGGTTGTGGCTCAGCAGTAGAGCACTCACCTAGCACAGGCAAGGCCCTGGGTTCGATCCTTAGTACCACATACAAATAAGTAAAATAAAGATATTGTGTCCAACTACAACTAAAAAATAAATATTAAAAAAAAAGAAATGTACCTCTGTCATTTTGCTAGTGATCAAAATAAAACAGGTCTTCGTGATAGACTTTATCATTGTCCCCAATTATTGTTTCTCTACAGTAGGACTGTATTTCCCTGCCCAACATCAGGCTTGGCCTTGTGACTTGCCTTAGACAACGAAGTGTGAGTGAAAGTAATAGTGCCATTTCTAAGCACTGCATGATTCCATCATCTCCTTTCTGAGAATAGCGTGTTTCAAAAAGGGATGCAGGTTCTACTGTGAAAAGGTCATGGTGCAGAGCTACAAACTACACAAAAGGAGGAATAAGACTGGATGTCAGGTTGGATTGCTATGAGAGCCACTGAGACTCACGGGTCATATATTCGTACAGCACAACAGCCTTCTTTCTCCTAGCAAAACTGGCACCTGTGGCTAACATGACAAGGTGGGTGCTATACTAGGCACAGAGTTCCATTACTCTCCACAATGCAGCCCAGAGGTAGATATCGTTCATCTTTCCATCTTACAGAGGAGGAAACCGAAGCACTAAAAGTTCAGCTTTACTTTGACCTTAAGATTACATAGTAGCCCCTGAGTGTCAGAGCCAAGCCTAGAATTCATGATTCTCATTCCAGAGAATGTTCTGTGGTAACAAACAACCCTTCAAAATGCCAGTGCTTGATAGGATGAAGATTTATTTCTCACTCAGCCCCCATATCTGTCAACTATAATTGTGCCATCTGTCATCTTCCCTCCAGGATCAGGGTAACTTGCTATTTGGAAAATGGCAAGCTGAGTGGTGAAGGGAGATAAAAGATGAAGAACCAGGCCTGGGCTCTTTTTTTTTTTTTTAAGTATTTTTTTAGTTGTTGATGGACCTTTTTTATTTTTTTTAATTTATTTATATGTGGTGCTGAGGATTGAACCCAGTGCTCACACATGCTAGGCAAGCGCTCTGCCACTGAGCCTCAGCCCCAGCCCCAGGTCTGGGCTCTTAAAATTTCTATTCTGCTGCCAGCCACAGTGGCACATGCCTGTAATCTCAGCAATTTGTGAGGCTGAGGCAGGAGGATAATAAATTTCAGGCTATTATTAACCTCAAAGTTGTTGAGCAATACCCTCAGCAACTTAGCAAAGGTCTCACAAAAGTAAAAAAGGTTTGGGATGCCACTCAGAGGTAGAGCGCTCCTAAATTCAATCCCTAGTATCAAAAAATAGATAAAAATTTAAAAAAAAATTTCTACCCAAAGACAGATTTCTGATCACGGCTCACTGGCAAATCAAATCACATGACCACTCCTGAGTTCAATAGGGTAAGAGGTTTAAACCTCTAAGGAGAGGCCACAAAGGAAGCACACCAGGATATTTGATGAATAGTAAAACATGCTACTCCAAGGTCCTGAAGCCAAAACCCATTCTCACCCAGCCCCAGTCCTCACTACTGATGGGGATAGCAATATGCTAGGATCTATGGCTGTGTCTAGGACACGACTGTGTCTCTGCACTTGTCATACCATCAGAGAACAGGCAGGGATGCTGACCAGAAAAAAGGCTAATAGTACAGAAATAATGCTTAAATTTGGGTAAAATTGACAGGCTCCAAATGCCAATTCCACCTGGACCCAGTCATGTCACACAGGCAAAAGTTTCTTAACTTCTGTACCATGCAATTTCCATAAAATGGTAATCCTGACTCCTAACATTCAAATTGTTGAGGGAATAAAATATTGTGATGACTGTAGAGCCCAGCACCTGGCCTGTGCCAACTGCCAATCAATGGTGGTTACCATCAGTTTTTTTGATTTTCATAGCAGCTGACAAAGCCCTGGGAATCCAGCAGCCATGATGAAATGATGTTGGCACAGGATGGTGGGAACCTGAACAAGAGCCCAGGCTTAGAGGAATATTCCTTGTCAAAGCTCTTGCCCTCAAAACAGCCCTGGGGGGAAAAAAACCTGGAGCCTCAATGGGACATAGCAAAACACAAGACATCAGGAGAAACAAAGTAAATTTGCCCATGGTTTGGAGCAAAGAAGACTTATAAGGTGGAAGGTAAATAGTACCCACCTCAGAGTAGGTTGCCAAGATCCCAGAAGACTTTATAGAAAGTACTTTCCTGGTAGGCAGGGATCTGAGAAAATGGACCTGAGGAGAAAACAGGTAGTGTGAGCTTCAGGATTGTCTCCTGGCCTCAAGAGCCAGAGGAGAAATCCACAAGTTTAAAATGAAGGGGCTCCTCTTCTTAAAAAAGAAGAAGGAGGAGGAGGAGGAGTGGGGAGGAGGAGGAGGAGGAGGAGGAAAGAAGAAAAAGAAAGAAAGGAAGGAAGGAAGAAATAAATCAATCCAGGGTGCAATTCTGTAATCCCAGCAGCTCAGGAGGCTGGGACAGGAGGATTGTTAATTTCAAGAACAGCATCAGTGAGGCCCCCAGCAATTTAGTGAGACTCCTATCTCAAAATTTAAAAATAAAACAATAAAAAGGGCTGGGGATGTAGCTAGCTCAGTAAAGTGCTCCTGGGTTAACTCCCCAGTTTTTGTTGTTGTTGTTTGTTTGTTTGTTTTTTAAAGCCATACATCTGTCAGAGAAGAATGAACACAGCTTCTGGAAAACAGAGCCAGGTGTGGGCATCAGAATACATTACATATTCATGCTGCCATTACATATTCATCCTTTAAATATGTATAGGCCTCAACTTGTAATTATTAGTACTAGTTAACACTTTCTACACTCTTATTATATACCATAGGATTCCAGGAACCAAGAAATTTTATCTCCCAGACACTCCTGAACTGAGGCACAGTTACATATCTAGCTCAAACTGACAAAGCTAGAAAGTGACCAGATTTGAATGCTAGTTGTGCAGTGCCATACCCTTAGCTAGTTGGGTCAGTAATGACCAACCCATAGGGGGGTCTGACAACTCTCAAAGTGTATCTACACACAGGACTTGA